GGGGCTGGCAGTGCAGAGCCTTCCTGCTGGGAGAGCACACAAGGCTCCCGAGGGCCCAAACTGCCCAGCCCAGCCCTCCTGCCCTCCCACAAGTCACACCGTGCTCAGCCACACTCAAAACACCAGCACAGACCAGAGGGCTGATACACAGACTTTAATATTTTGCAATCTTTTCTCTAAGGAGCCAGCAGCAGCAGAGGAGAGTGGTTGCAGGGGACAGCGCCATGCATGTGTGCACAACTGGCAGCACCTTGACTCCAGGGAATTCTGCCCAACCAGCTCTGCACCAGCTCTGTGTGCTGGAAAAACAGGCTGGGGAAGCACTGGGGGTGTTCATGTCACAGGCTCACATCTGGGCTCTGCCTTTAGCAACAGAGAACCACAGATGTGAAAAAGGATCATCTAAAACATGAGACACTTTTAGAGTAATCCCATTTTCCTGCCTAGGACTTGGAGACAAAACATGGAGTTACCATTTTACCCATCCAGGCAAGAGGCATTTCATTGCCAGAGCAGTTCAGAACTAAACTGCTCAGAACTAAACAGGTCACAGGGGGTCCAGGGAGGCTGCACCACAAGCAGGTCAATGACTAGAGGAGCCCCTGTGCCTTCAGTCAAGGCAGAATTTTCTGATTTTTAAGGAGGCCTAACACCTCGTTCCTGGTCCCTCATTCCAGCAGCACGGAGGCACACACTGCACAGCTCTCAAGATCCACAATTAGTTTGTGGGTCTCTCAGGCCTACAGGATTTGGGTGGGGCAGGGCAGAATCCCTCCTGTAGCTTTCTGAGGGATGTGACAGGGAGTGTTTGATAGTGGCCTTGGCTGAAGTCAGCAACAGGATCCTACTGAGCGCTGTGGAGCTCTGCTGCAGGAGGGCAGGCTGTGGAGCATCCCGACGGCTGCCTACCCCTGGAGGGAAGTGAAAGCCCTGTAATTCAGAAGAAGGACCACACCACATGCCATGACCTTCAAGAGTGGGGCCAGTGTCACCTGCCCAGCGCTACTGACATGAATTTTGCCATCCAGTTTCAGACAGCTGGCTTTCGGGGTGGCTGGGCAGCATTCCTGGTAACAGGCAGCCTTCATCCCACTGGCACAGACTGGTTTGGCAGCCTTGCAGGCTTTGCTACATCCTGCCATGTAATTCAAGCCCGTCCTCTTCATCTGGAAGGAAGAGAGACACATTAGGGGTCATGTCAAGCCTTTGGTACTCGCATTACAGGAACACAATGGCAGATCTGGGGCTGTCCTGCTTTGCAGCCCGAGGCCTTACCTCACAGAAGTCCTGCCCCAAGATGCATCTAGCAACGGTCTTCCTGCCTTTGAAACACCCATCCCCGTGACAAGAGAATGCTGTGCACACTTTCCCCTACAACAAAGGACCAGGGGAGACACCATATATCCATCAGACTCTCACTGCATTTCAGTCAGCCCTTCACTCCTGAGGGCTCCTCTCCCACCCCCCTCTGTTCTTCATTATTTGTGCTGTATCAGGCATTTTAGATCCAGAGAAAAAAGACTATCAGTGGCCCATCTGAAACCAAAGGAAACTACTGAAACACTAGTAGAGCAAACATGTTTCAAGCCTCCTTTTCCTTCCTCTTAACAGGGCTCTGCAAAGATAAGCACTTTCCCCTCCACTAGACTCAGGAAAGGGCTGCAGAGTTCGGTGGGTCCTGTGCTCTCCCTGCAGCTGCAGGAAGGCTCAGCCATGCAATCAAGTCAAACTGCCTGAGCTGATGAAGTGCTGGGCTGGGGATAAGGCCCGATGGACAGGGCTCCTTAACGACTCTTTACTTCCAATGCCCATTTACGATTTGTTCCCCTTCCAGAGGCAGATTTTGACCTCATAAAGCAGATGTAGGAGGGACCTTTCCCTGTTTCCTGCTCAGGTGGGAGCTCAGCTGTCCCAGCAGCCACAGCCCCCAGAGAGCCCCAGGAGCTGCAGCAGCCTCTGCCCCGGTAGTACCTACGTTTTGGGGGGGAGGTCGGTGGGTGGTGTTGGTGGTCCTGGGTGGAGCAGTGGTGGGTGGCAGGTCACCTGCAGACACACAAAGAGCCCTGTGAGGCTGCACCCAGCACACAGCCCACACAGGGCCCTCCACAGCAACACAGGGACAGATTCCCCAGTGCAGCTCATGCTGCGGCCAGAGCTGGTGGGACCACCCTGTCCCTCACCCAGCTCCAAGGACAGAGCGAGCCCCAGGGCAGAAGAGACACAGCAATGTAGCCACAGCCCCTCTGCAATGGGCTCTGCCCACCCGTGCCCCTCCTGTGCCGCAGAGCAAAGCTCGGCTGTTACCGTAGGTGCTGGCGTTGAGCTGCAGGCACAGTGGGGTGGCACAGCACTCCAGGGCACATTGCTGCCTGCTCTCGCTGCCGTTGGTCCTGCACAGCCCCACGCCACACCTGCTGCTGCACCCGGCCGTGTAGTTTGTGCTGGAGAAACGATAAAGCTGCAACAGCAGAGTCAAAGGATGAAATGAGTGTGAAGAAGACCATTACAAAGGAGCAGAAATAACTGACAGATTGCCAGAGAAGGAAGGGAAACAGGAGATGGACACAGACTTAAAAGAGCACTGTAGATTGCTGAGATAAAGAAAGGGAGAGGTTTCCCTATTGCAGCCCCCCTGCATCGCCATACCTCACAGTAAGTCTCATTATGGCAGGTGACTGTTCTGTTGGAATGGGCTTCATCCTGGTAACACCTCTCCCCGGAGCACTGAAAGCTCTGGCAGGTGAGCTGGAGGGAGAACATACCTGGGTGTCACCATGTAGCAAAGCCTCCTTGCACAGCACCACGGGGCTGTCCCCAACCACAGCCTCACTGTCCGGAGGGGCCACCCCCATCTGCCCATAGTGCTCCCCTTCCTCCCCAGGAGATGCTCCCGTGGCACTCTGGCTGTCACGATAGACCAGCTGGGCAAGAGACACTGTAAGGCTGCAATGACCCAGAAATGCCCCTCTTTCCAGTACTTTCCTTACCATTGTCTCTTGTGCACCATTCACAGAGGTGTTGGTGGCCACTGAGGCATTGCCAGTGGAAGCCACCGAGGTGTTGCTGGCAGTGGCCACCACCAAGGCATTCTTGGTGGCCACCTCTGAGGCATTCTTGGTGGCCACCAGTACAGCATCCTTGGTGGTGACCACCACTGCAGCATTCTTGGTGGCCACTGCTCTGGCATTCTTGGTGGCAGCCACCACTGCGGCATTCTTGGTGGCAGCCACCACTGCAGCATTCTTGGTGGCCACCAGTACAGCATCCTTGGTGGTGGCCACTGCTCTGGCATTCTTGGTGGTGGCCACCACTGTGGCATCCTTGGTGGTGGCTACCACTGTGGCATCCTTGGTGGTGGCCACCACTGTGGCATCCTTGGTGGTGGCCACCACTGCGGCACCCTTGGTGGTGTTCTTAACAGCTGTGGTCACCACTGAGGCGTTCTTGGAGGCCACCTCTGAGGCATTCTTGGTGGTAGCCACCACTACAGCATTCTTGGTGACCATTGCTCTGGCATTTTTGGTGGCCACCAGTACGGCATCCTTGGTGGTGTTCTTTACAGCTGTAGTTACCACTGAGGTGTTCTTGGTGGTCGCAGCAACCCACAAGGCTTTCTTGGCAGCCACCATGGTGCCGTTGGCAACTGTGTCGTGCTCTGAAAGACACAAAGTTCCCCTTTGGTGAAGGAAACAAGGAAAAACACCCTCAGCAAGCCCAGTGTCCTGTCCTGAGCCACAGCATGGACCTGTGGGAAGCATCTGTCCAGCTGTGGTTGGGAGGTGGATGGCAGTCAGTGACAAGATGTCCCAAACAGAGGCTGTTTAAAGCTACTGACCGGGCAGCTCAAGAACCAGGTCAGAGCCAGCAGCCCCCTGCAACAGCACTATGGACAGATGTTACAATAGCCTCTCTCCCCCTTCCAGCCATGCTGCCTGGGAAGAACAGGCTTTTCCAGGGGCAAAACCTCAATGAAAGGTTCCTCAGGGCAGCTCTGTCCTACAGAACACAGCTTGGAGGTGAGAGGCACAAAGTCCCCATTGCACCACACTGCCTTTGTCCCACTTCCCACAGGCCCACAGATTTCCCCTGAGTACAGAGCTCACCTGCTGGGGCAAGAGAGTCCTGGAGATGGATGTGCAGAGCCAAGATGCAGAGCAGCAGGCCTGGAATGGAGTGGGGATGGCTGAGACCACCACATCTACTGCCCGCTCTACAGCCCAAAGAGCCTCCCCAGCAGCAAGGCAGCCTTGAAACAGGTGAGCAGGGATACTCCCCACTCTCCCAGAGCCCCAGGGGGCCAGTGGCCACCCCTTGTCCCAGGGAGGCCTCTGGCACAGCCCCAACAGCTGGGGCAGGGACAGACCCAGGATGGGGGATGGACACACTCTCGGTGCTGCACCAGAGCCCCTGTTACCTTGAACGGGCGGGACGAGCCATCGGCGACCGGCCATCGTCATCCACCGCGGCTGCACCCAGACCTGGCAGGAGGACACGGTCAGAGCTGCCCCCCGAGGTGCGGGGCAGACACCCCAGCACAGCTCTGGGCTCCACCTCCAGGGCTCAGCCCCAGTCGCTCCCTCCTGAGAGACTCCCCAGACTCACTGAGGCCGCTGCCGGGGAACGGGAGCCCCGGGGAGCTGCGTGTGCTGTTGGTGTGGCAACAACCCTCCCTGGGCCTCGCAGGCAGCACAGACCTGCAGGCAGCTGCAGGAGCAGGGTGCAGGCTGTCACAGTGACACCTGCTACCACACAACAGTTTGCTGATGCTGCTTCAAGTGAAGATGTGGCCTGGCTCTCCATTCTACTTTCTCTACTTTCATTCCAAATCTTTACCTGTTTCTCTAAGGAAACAGCAGATTTGAATCCAAACAGGCTCCAAAGCCAAGTTCTCCAAGAACTGTAACACTTCCCTCCTGTTTTATGATCTAGGCTGAGTCACCATTCCTCCAGGACCTGGAGTGGCCAAAGCTTGTGCAGAGACCTCCGAGGCCATTCCCTCAGTCACGAGGAAGACAATGCCAGCTGGTGCCTCTCACCTTCCAAACGAGGGCAGCCACCACTCAGACCACCTGTGGACACCCCTACTGAGCCCAGTGCCACTCCAGCCTAGCACCAGGGCAGGCAAGGAACCAACAAGGAACCCACCTGACACGGCCTCATCCCAGGAGAACAACCTTCCCCCGGGGAAGGAGAAGAGCCCACGGCACTGACTCACCTGTCTGCCTGTTCCTGCACCTGCAGCTGCTGCCAGCACTGGAGAACCTCTGAGCAGGTGCTGTGGCACTGGCCCCGCAGCCCAGCCCCACCCCTGCCAGCCACCACCCGGGGGAAGTGTCCCCTGTGGCTCCACAGCAGCAGAGACGCAAATGGCCCTGCACAGCAACAGAGAAAGGGCTTATGAGGCTGGAGATGTCACATGAGCCACCACTGCACCAGAGGGGCTGGGCAGCACAAGGACTGCCACTGTCACATGTGACACGTGTGGCCTCTGCACGATGGACCTGCAATTCCCGAGGCAGCACGAATCTGTGGGGTATGTACAGGCATCTCCAAGCATGGCACTGGGGGCCAAGGGTGCTGAAGTCACAGCAGTCACCTCTAAATGCATCATCTGTTCCCATCTCCATCCTCCTGCACCACAGAAGGATCTGCACAAGAACCTACCTGGCCCTTCAAGCCAGCAGCAGCATCAGAGAAGCCACTGTCCCCACAGCCCAAGCTGACCCAGCTCACTTGGTGATTCCCTGAAAAAACACAGTGGCTAAAGCTCCCCAGGGAGACAGACCCAAGGTAAAAGCAGCCCTTAAGCCAGGTGAGTTTGTTTTGCAAAGAAGCCCAAAGAAAACCACACACTCACAGCCAGATCTAGAACACCTGTCGGCACACAGTGTCCAAGTCCATGTGCTTCACAGAGTCACCATAAACATTTCCATCAGAGTGGGAGTGAAAGAAAGAGTTGTTTCTGACAGCTCTAACTGTGTAAAAAGCATTTTAAACATGTAATAAAACCTCTTCCTTCCACCACACGAAAGGAGACAAGTCTCTCGGCACTTCCTAAATTAAAATGAGTTTATTTTTCAAGGTATTTTTGAATATAAAACAATCTCACAAGTCTGCTTTTCACAAGGGGCTTACTAGAAAGTGATTCTATAAAGTATCATTTTAATCTATATTCATGCACATACAAAATCCAGAAACAGGAAGTCAGAGCTGCTGCCACATCCACTCACTGCACAGGTGTGGGATCCTTCACCTGGGCACAACTACAGCAGCCCCTGGCGCTTCAGGTCTTCATAGGTCTTTTTATTCACGACGTTCCCGCTGGAATCTTCATATTCCTCCTGGAATGGAACCAACAGTTTAGAGACACTGGGTACAGCCTCTGAATTGTAGCTCCAGCAGAAGCCACTACACATGAGCACCCTGCCAGAACCTCCGTGCAGAAAGACAGGCAACAGATCTGCCAGCAGGTCCTGGCAGAAAGAGCTCATCCAGAGCTGGAGTCATTACAGGCTGTATTTCCCACTGTTGCCCTGCACACTGTTGAAAAATGGCTTGGGACAGAAGCTTAGGAAAAGGCACCAGTGTAAGCAAGGACAGTGCTCCCACACGGGAATGGGAGGGTCCCACAGACACGGGACTGGAGGCACTGAACAGCTCTCACTGCTCACCTCTGTATCGGGCTGCCACCTCTCTGAAGCCTTCTGCTGTTTCAGCTTTGCCCACACTGCAAACGCAAAGTCAAACAGGATCTGATGCCATTTCCCTCGAGGTACTTGTTTTTAATCCAGTAAAATACACACATGAGCTTTTTTTCCCCCCCTTCTTCTAAAACACTTCAGCAGTCCAGGAATGTACCTGACATCCATTACAAAGTTATAACTCCCGTGTGGTTACAGAAAAGCACAGAACTGCAGCAAACAAGGCTTTAAAGTGATAGTTCAGGATAGGACACGAGACCAATGTCCAAACCCACTCCTTCAGAAAAGGTGGTGTTCTCTCACATCTTCCCTGTTCTGCCATCACTACTTACATGAGACTGCATCCTCAATCTGTGTGACGTTGGCAAAGTGTGCCGTGTTGGGAATGCCCAGGCACCGCATCCCATGGGCATGTCGCCACTCCTGGTGGGGGGAAGAGATGAGAGGTCAGCATGAGAGGGAATGACACGTCCTTCACAACACCAAAGACCACAAAGACATTAACATCTGAACAGGGTGTAACAAATACTACCAAAGTACAAATCTACCAGTCCTCAAAGCTTCTACAGAAGTATTTTTTTCCTGTACTGTAGACAGTGACACGACAGCAGCCATCAACAGGCACCCTGCACCCATCAGACCTGGGCACTCGGAACGGTGTTCAAATGAGCAGGGACTGTTCTGCATCAGCACAAGAGATCTCGGTGTGCCCTACACAACCTATGGATCCCACTGCACAGCCCTGACCCCCTGTCAGAAGGGGCAGAATTGCTAGCTGGGGACCCCAGGGACTCCCAAGTGACTCATTACAAGGACTGTCTGAACCCAGCAGGGCTGATCCTGCAGCGAACGTCACTTACTGCAAAGTGCCGCTGGAACGCCTTGGGCCCTCGGTAGGTGTAGTTACCACAGATCTCACAGTTGTAGTTGATGTTTAAACCATGGAGTTTATACAGCCAGTACGGGATGGGCTGCAAGCGAGGAGACAAGAGGATGAGGATACACAAGGATTAGGACACGTGGCAAAGCAGCTCAAACAGGGGAGCAGCGTGGAGTCAGTGACCCCTCCCACTTCTCCAGGCCTGACGGTCTCGGTTACCTTGCCATCCCAACCAAGAGGCAGATTTTTAGGGTTATAAATGATTTCATTTTCTTCATCTTCACTCTCACTCTCACTGATCTGCTCTTCCTCCTCCTCCTCCCTCTCCTCCCCGGTCCGCGCCTGCTTACGCTGCACGTTCTCATGGGTGAGGTGTCTCTGTTCCTGGAGAAGAGAAGGCATTGTCCACACACTGTGACAGCAACAAAGTCGGGGCAAACTCCTGCAGTGAGAAACTTTCTCAATGTACAGAGGGAGGGAATGGAAGACCAGTTTGAAGCACAGAACTCCCACCTTACTCAGCCAAACAACTTCTGTTTTTAGTACCCTGACATTTCCTACTTGCCAAAAACAAAAACCTTGTACCACTGTTAGCACTTCTGAGGTGACAGGTAGCAGCAGCAGCCACTCTGCTGAAAACAATCCCCTCACACCAAAGGCAGGCAGCAAGGCAGAACAAGTAAAGGTTTGCAATACCGTGTGACTTAGGCACAAAATAGATGTGATGCACCACACTGATGTGGTGCTGTCTTTGAAAGCACTGGGTAAAGATGTGGATGACCTTCCAGTCACTATTTGACAGCTCTGAAATAAAAAGCTCAAAGAAAAAATAAAATCCTTACCCCAAGAACTTCTACATACTCATAAATCTGAGCTTCCAGGAACGCCAGATCTTTATTTCTTTCAGTGTCTCTAGAAATAAATAGAGTAACTTTATGCAATTCACAAGTTCAGCTCTGATATCTTCCATTTGGTTCAGCACTATTTGGTTCGACATGAAAAGCTTCTAATCTCTCTGTAACAACTACACAAGAGTGGCCACTCCAGAACACCCCTCATCCAAGAGGAGAGGACACCACCAGCCTCAGAATGATCTCTAAGAACTCACCTTTTGCTTCCTTTTGTCTTTGGATTCTTAGCAAACAAGGAAGGATCAAGTGCTTCCAAGGATTTGCCTTTAGTGCTAAAAAGCCTCTGAGCACGCTCCTCCAGAGTCCTAGAGAGAAGCAGGGAGGGGATCAGTCCAGACAACAGTTTTACATTTCCCAAGAACTATTTGAATTCATGCAACAAAATTCTAAACGTAGCTTTTATGAAATCACAAGATTCCTTTATCTTTGCCTTCCTTCCTCAAGCCAAAGTCTTCTGTATCAGAGACTCCAGTATAGGACCTGGTCAGAGCAGCAGATCCCAGAACCCGCTGCTTGGTTCTTAATGTTTTACCTTTCAAACATCACTAAGGTAATTCTAGTACACCATAGATGACCAAACAAGTATCCCAGAAAGGAATGTGAGACAGGAAGACCTCAAAAACCTAAAGGAACTCTACAAAGACTGCACCTTACCCGCCACACTTCAGCCCCAGGGCCAGCAAAGCTGATTTTAACCTGTCCAGTCCCAAGGAGGCCAATTCCTGTTCAATTAAATAAACCACTGTAAGAGATGATCTGTTCAACACATAAAATATGGATATAGCCCATTTTAGCTCATTAAAGAAGAAAAAAGCCTGATGAAAAGGACTGTCAAGGGTGCACCCCTCCTCACTGGAAAATGAGGAATGTGACAAATCTAACCAGGTCTTTCAAGCTACATCCCCCAACTGGAGAAGTTAAATCATCAGTATCATCGAAGTTTTACCCAGAAAGCACAGAGCCAGGGAGGAAAGCACTACAATTATGCAAAGAAACAAAATGACTGAGCTTCCACCTGCTTCAAATGTGGCAGTAAGTGCAGAACACTGAAAACGCACCTCCCAGGAGGAGAAGGCTGAGAGGTCCAGGTGGGCACCGGCGTGGGTGAGGGCACTGCTGGTCTCTTTCTACCAAGAAAACCACATGCAAGAGCTGCATGACATCCCACAAGGCTTCAGGCCACAGAACATTTTAACCTCAAGAAAAACAGTTCATTTCACAGAGAAAAATCCCCTCACTAAACTGAAAATGGAACAGTAGTAAAGATGCAACATACGCCAACCTGAAAGGTTCATTTCAAACCAGTCGTGCTGGGTTTCAAATTCAGGTCAGTACCACCCTGCAGCCTGGTGACACAGAGCTGCAACTGGGTCAGGGTCACCCCACCAATGACTTTACACAAATGACTCACAGGAACCCCTCAAAACCACAGAACATCTCCCAGGCTCAGGCTGCTCACCGGCCAGCCCGGGAACGTGCCATTCTCCCACTTTTTCTCAAACTCCGTCTGAATTTTCCCAAAAAGTTCATTCTGGTCCAGTAACGGTTTCACTCGATCTGTGTAATCCTGCAGGTACTCCAGGAGCATTTCAAGGTACCTGGGAGGGGAAGCACAAGCACAGGTAATTCACTGTCACCCTCTACCCACGTCTTCGGACTAGTCACTACCCTCTAGCGCTGCAGAGGGAGGTGACTGAGCTCAGGACAGTTTTCCACACAGGATTTCTGGGCACAGCAGTT